TTTTCCTTCCTCGGCGTCCTCGTTGCGCTGTGCTGTTTGTTGTTCTGTGTGCCTGACGCGTCATGCGTACCGGTGCGTGCTGCCAGCTCCGCGGCGCCCGGCAGCGGCACGGAGCCCGTCTATTTGCTCAACATGATGCACGATGCGAATCCGCAGGCGGAGTTGAAAGCCGGTGCCGTGTGGACTGGAATGGACGCTGCTTTTTACGCCTCCGGCTACACCGTTGGCGGCAAGCGTCCCCTCGTCATTGTCGAACCCGACAGCAGCGCCAACCTGTCCGACGTCGCCGCGGTGATTGCACAGGGGCTGGCGGACCACCCTACGCTGTTGGGCGTTCTGGGGCCCTTCGCAGACATCTCAATGATGGCGGCGCTGAACAGCGACGTTGTGAAGGAGAACCATTTGGTGTTACTGGCTCCCTTCACGGGGTCGTCGACCGTGCGTGTGTGGAACCCCCACGCGTACTTCATCCGTGCTGAGCCGTTCGCCGAGCTGAAGGTGATCATGTCGTACGTCTTCAACACCCTCCGTGCGAAGCGCATCGCGTTCATGTACCTGAAGAAGGCGTACTACGGTGATGCTGAGTATCACGAGGTGCAGGGGATGCTGAGCCGCCTTGAGCGTGACCCGGCCGTCGTCTACTCCGTGAAGTACTCTGCGACGGACTCCGCCGTGGACCGCGCCGCTTTTGACGCCATGGCGGACACACATCCGCAGGTGGTGATTGTGTGGGGCATTCCTGACCAACAAACGTTTGAGTTTGCGCGAGCGCTCATGCTGGACCCGCGTACGTCGTCGGCAGCCATCATGGGCTGCTTTGACTTGCAGCCGACGCTTTACGAAGCCTACGCCAACGTGACTGCGGGGGAGGGATCCAGCAAGCACGACTACCAGATCTTTACCAGCGCCACCTCGCGCACACCGACGGACGACAACACCAATGTCACCCACATGGCTCTCTTCTACAAGGAGATAATCAACTACATCGTGCACTCTGGCCGGAGCACCTACAGCCTGCTGGACGGTTCGAGCTCCTCGGACGCACTGAGCAGCTCCGCGGATCTGCTGCGCGCGGCCAAAGCCTTCTTTATTCGCAACTCCGTTACGGCCCAGCAAATGGTGGTAGGGTGGCTGGCCGGCAAGGTGATCCAGCGCACGCTTGAACGGGTCGACTGGATTGCGGACCGTGCCACCTACCAGACCGGGCTGTTTGACCAGAACCGCTTCATCATCGGAGGCGACGCCGTCTTCGGCGACTACGGCGGTACCTGCGACGCCTTTGCAGCTAAGATGGGTGCGATGTGCAACTGCAACCAGGGCGGCCACGCCGCTGTCCTCGCGCGTTTCGTCAACGAGTCTGTCTGGACA